GATAGTACAAATACAGTAATACCCCGGACTTACGTGATAGGTGGGACCAAGCGATAACCGCGTAAGTCGAATTCGAATAACTTCTAACTGATGAACTGTCTAATTGATAGTTCATCAGTTAGCAGCAGTTGCAGGTTCAAGTCCTGCTCTGAGTTGATCCTTTTCTCCAGGACCTTCTAAATTAATTAATAAATATTAATTTAATAAGATATGGTGCCTAACACCTACCTCCTTGGCCAAATTACTTAGCATTTAATTATAACTATATCACATCTACTGTTAATATCTAATTCAGCAATCATTTGGCTTCAAAAACATTAATATTTAAAAAGCAAGATTTCTCATTTGTAGAAGCAAATGCTATCTTATTTTGACACTTTGCAAATTATAGCGAAATATGAGTAGTTTATTTGTCAGATTGTACTTTTTTAAAATTATTTTATGTGGATGTTTATACAGTATTTGATAACTTAAAGAATGTAATTACATGTTTCTAATTTAAAAATCTATTGTAAAATTTACAAAAAAATAAATGTTTCTGTTCATTGCTAATCAACTATTGTTATTTTTTAATTGACAGATAGTTGAAAATGTTAAAATGGAAGAAATACCAGAATGGTTTCATGAATGCAAATTCAATTATGCTGAAAATTTATTACAATTTAAGGACAATCGGATAGCATTATATTTAACAGGTAAATATGATATACTGTGTACTATTAAATATATATTATATTTTCAGTTATTCAAAAGTCTTTAAGTAAATTTTCTTTGTCTTTTAAATTTTAATTTGCATTGAAGAGATTATTTAATTTTTTAAAAAAAGATTTTATTACTTACTTTAATAGAATTCTCTTCAATATGTAAAATAATAATTTTGTAAAAAGTGATTTTTGTATTTCAAAATACAAAATTAATCTGAAGCTTCAAAGTTTAAATATGTATGTATGGTTGTTGGATAGTATCCTAAATTTTCATAATCATTTTTAGATAAGAATGTACTTTGCATAAGTTATTCATATTAATATCAATGTTGAATTCTTGTTGATTGTTGTATTAAAACCTCCTTTTGATTCATTATTCATGTAAATTATTTTTATATTTAGATTAATATTATATTTATACAAAATAATTTAAAATAAGTAATGTATTTAGATTTTAATCTGATAAGATTACAATCTAAATACACAAATATCAATTAGTATTATCAAAAATTTTGAATTAAAATTGGATTAAGTTATTATTCAATGACTGCAGAATTTAGTATTTTATTACATTAATTTAATTTTATATGTACATTTTTTAAAGTTATTTTAATGAAAATCAATAGTTCAGAACAGAATTCAAATTCATATTCTTACATTAGATGAGAATTGCATCTTTTTTAGGCCTTGTTAAATTATTTCAAAATAAAAGAAGTAAAATGGCAAAGCCATTTTTGAGATGAGACTGTCTTGGCAAGTGTAAGCAACACATGCACAAATCTTGCACTCGTGTTTGTTTGTAGAAACAGTCTCAGCATTTCATATTTTCTTTTGACCTGGTTCTCAGTCCCCTGATTATCTACAAGTCTGGTTTATTTTATGTGTGCGTGATTTGGGCACCAACTACTCTATGCCAAATTGCAACTCTTGACATGTACTCCTTCATACGTCTAAGGTGTGCATCTGTTAACAGCAGTGTGATTTGATTTTAGAGATGACTCATAGTCTTGTCAATTATTAATATCAATAGATTAATTAAATATTATCAATAGATAGCAATATATCTGTTTATACATGTCCATATTCTCTCACTGTTAAATAACTTAACACAATGTAAATAGAAAACCAATCCAAATTATACTAGTAATCAAATTATAGACCACATTAACTATTCCAAGTTAGACCTTGGCTAATTACCATAATTATACAGATATGTAATTTAGAGTAAAGATAGGCAGTAATGCAACCAACTTGGCTGTATATTTCTTGTCTTTTTTTAGTCCAAATTACTGAAGCACCTTTAGGCCATTAGTTATTATAATTTGGCTCTATCATTTGGTTTACTAACTTAATGCAGTTTTAATCCAGAGATTTTTAATCAAATTTATTATTACTTCTTGAATGATGCAAAAAATAATTTAGGATAATATACAGATATGTTTTAATATATTAATTACTTTTTTAAACTGATTTTTCTCCATTATACAATTCTTTCTTACATGAATACTTTATAAAACTACTGATTTTAAAAATTTATTTTGATGAATAGTTTTGCTAATACATCAAGCATAGAAATTTTAATTATAGATATATTATAATCAATTCCAATAAAGTTTTAATATCATTTTGATAATTTTTATCAAAAATGTATGTATTTTAACTGTAATTTAATAATTTCAGGAGAGAGACAGAAAGAAGTAAAGACAGTTACTTATTTTGAATTAAATCAGAAAGTAGCTCTCTATGCTTCTGCTTTGAAGTATCTTGGAATTAGAAAAGGAGATTGTGTTGTAGGTAAATACAAGGATTAATATATATATATTTTTATTTACATAATTTTTGATAATATAAGAGTTTCTTTTTAACTTCTACAAATTTAAAAAAAAAACTTTTTAAAACGTAACATACAAGATCTGCTGTCAAGGATATTAGCTTGCCTGCTTTCCCATTATTCAAACATCAATATATCTGCTGTTTTTTGTTCTACACACACTGTTCCAACACCTTTTTTGTTCTGTTTTTTTTTTTTTTTAATCAAACATAATCACATGACATTGTGAATTCCTTGTGTTTATATCAAATTTTCAAGTTACTGTTACATTAACTATAACCATGATATGTTCTACACCTACTTATGTATTTCAAATACATGTACTGTTTGCTTATTCTTAAAAAGTTTAACAGATTTCTTATTTTCCACATTCCAAAGATTGCTGCTATTAGTTGGTCAACTTACTTTATAATCACTCTGTATATACAAACTTTCTCTGAAACTATTTCTAATAATCTTTGATATTGTAACTTGTTTGTTGTTTTGAGTATTTTGATCTATTTAAAATTTTTCAAATTTGATTTATATATCTGAAGTTTTTCTATAATGTTGAAATTTTGGAATATAATCATTTACAATGTATATCAATTCTTTTTCTTATTAATGTTATTTCAATGCTTATGTTAGAAGATACAACTGTTATACTGCTGATGTATTTGATTTTGAAGATGAGAACAAATCAAAGTTCATTACTGTATATACATCTTGGAAAACAATTTACAGTGCCATCAATATGTAAACACTATATGGCAGTGTTAATAACTCAGGATTAAGAGTTGGTTAGAGGTTAATCAATCGCCATTCATTCCACTTTTAGTATGTGAATGCTTATTAGTTAATTTATAATTCTAACTCTTGATCCCTGTAAATATGAATATATGTTACTTTTAAGATTATAAAGATAAGTTCTGTAGCGTTCTTTGACTAAAAAATATGGGCTAATGGAAAAATTGATGTAATAGTAGATACAATTAAAATTCTTGTTAGTACATTTTCATTATTTAACATTTGTTTTTTTTTTATCAACACTTTTTTATTTTTAATATACTGGGTGATGATAAAATAAGTAGCTTTATTTGCAGCTGTCAGTAGCTTGAAGGAATAACCATTGACCCAAATGACCCAAATTGGAATAACCAAAATGAAACCAAAATTGGTACATTTACTATTTAAGAATGGAGAAGAAAAATGAAACAAGAAAAATGTAGTTTACTGTGCCCTATATAGGCATTATTTTAAAGTTCGAAATGTAATGTGTAATACAAGAAGAAAGAATTAAGGTGTATAACTTGATAGCATATTTATTGGAAAATGTCAGTTAGTGTGGTTATGCTGTCGCATGGTGGCATTGATGATTCAGTTCAGGATCCACAATATCCTTGGATAGGATTTATATCTAATCCTTAAAAATAGGCTATACTGATTTTTTAAAAATATCATACAATGCTTTAAAAAAATTTACTATCTAATTTTTAAAATTATGGGGAAAATGCAATATGTTGTAATCATATAAAGTATATACTATATATAGATTTTATATTTTAATGTTTTTAAAATGTCATTTTTTTCTAAACTTTAAATTTTAAATATATTATTTCTCACTTCATTTTAAATGAAATTCCTTGTAATAACAAGTGCAAATGCTATTCAAAATATAATTTAAAATAATTTAGTCAATCTATATATTTTTCAGTATAAATAAATATTTAATTTATTCTGTAGCTATCTATTGTTAGATTTACTGCTATACCTGAGTATACAGTGTACAGTGGAGGGTAATAGGCAATGAACACAAACCAAATTAAGGACTTTACACTTCTTATTTTGCAGGTGAAANTTTTTGTCTATATTTTATTATTTTTTTCTTTTAATATTATCAAGAAGTCAGTTGTGATTGTTACAATATGTTGTCATTATTTCATAAGTTCTTTTTCATTTAAAATAATCTTTTTGAAGTCTTGTAATATTATTATATAAGAGTAGTAATCCTGATATTATAAGAGTATGAAGTATGATTTTTTGAAATTTGTTGAATTTGATAGAAATTAAAAACTATTTTAGTAAGTATTTTTTGCTTTAAATTTTTATATGAAAAATTCAATAAAGTCGACCCCCTATAACGAGTCACTTAGATTTTACAAATATGTGTGCCAGTCTGTGAACGGCTCACGTATTTGTAAAATCAAAGTGACTTGTACAACATGGAATTCATAAAAAACAGAATAATCAACAGTGTTATAGGGGGGTCGACTGTACATACTTTCTTCAAAAAGCAAATAATAGTTGAGAAAATATAATAATTGTTAATAAACATGCCAATTTATTAAAATTATAGAAGTCAATAAAAAGTGTGAAAAATGAATTTTGTATTTACCGGAAATCATTTTTTGAATGAATTTTTTTTTTTATAGAAGATTTAATTGATAGCAAGCCTACAAAGTAATTAAGGGTGTACTGGGAATAGGAATTTATATGCAACAGATGTATATTTCTTTCCTGATAGTTATGAGATCAAGATATACACTTAAAGCAGGAAATAATGATTCCATAATTATATGATTACATCAAAAATGGGTTCAAATATGGAAGTCCATATTTTATTACAAGAAACATTTTCCAAACTTTTGATTGATCATTAACTGCTCAAGACAATTCTGGATGATTTGAAAACATTTCTAGTAATAAAAAGTATGGACTTCTATGAGTAATTTTTTTTTTTAATGAAATTCTTTGAGATAAATTTTGTTTGTTATTAATCATAATTTTAATTGAAATTAGACAGATTTTATATTGGAAAGGTAGTGATGGTAATATCTTTAAAATAGTTTACTTACGAATAATAATTGACTCCCATTTTTTATCAGTAATTTTATGTAAATCTGAAGACTTAAAGGTAGCAATTAGTGATGAAAACAAACAAAGAATGCTAGGAAAATCCAGCGGCAACATTGCCAGTATTTTAAATTTAGTTACAGATTAAAATAATTCCAAGCTAATTTGTGAAAATTTAAGATTTGTTTGAAACTTGTTTATATTTCAAACAAGTTTTCAATTTTTCAACTTTAATGCAATGTTTTTTGTGTAAAGACATGATATGAAGAATATAAATGAATAGGATTAATTTTAATAATTCTATTGAGTGATTAACAAAAAGTTTATTTTGAAGCGATACAAAACTGTAAAATAATAAAATTTATTTTGAAGAGAATGAATCTCTAATAGTTTATTATATCTGGACTATAGACAGTTAATAAATATATATCTTGTTTGTGCCATTGCTCTTTGATATATTTGTCCACTTTTTCTGTTATTTTGATTGATTTATTGATGCTATGACATAAATGTTCACAAAAACATTTGAATGCAAGCAAAAGTGGAGTTATGGGATCTGATATATTCAGACCAGACCACCAAGAAAAGTTTTCGAGGATCTACAGTAATTAGATCTGAAGATGTCCCCTGAAAAGCAGACAGATACTTTAGTCTCATCAGCCATGAAGAGTTGTCATATTTCTATGCTCTTATGAGGATATCAGATTGGCTAAAGTGGCCAGAGCATAAAGTGGCCAGAGCATTAAAAAGTGAAGAATGCTGCTATGCAAAAAAAAAATAGTGAAATACACATTCCTCTATGCCTTATTATGTGTCAGCTTTTTTTATTTAATATTAGTTATTTTTTCTCTGTTTCTAGCAACTCTGTTTAGGGTTATCAAGAGCTTATATGGGACCAGGGATAGGCCAGGTCTTTTTGCCTCAAACAAGTCTCTTTAGCCTTTTTGTTTTTTGAGCAAATGAAATTTTTTAGAATGTTTCTTTATCAATAAAAAACAGGCTTAAACATTTTATTTTCATTAGTAAAAAAATGTTACTTTATAGGGATAGTAATCACTTTGGGCCCTAAATTTCCTCCCGGCCTAGGGAAAAATTTCCAGCTCCTCAATGTCTTAACAACCCCGGCTGTAGTATTACCACCTGTCCGATTTTCGCCCGGACAGTCTGCGGAATTGACTCACTGTCCAGGTGAACTATTAATTTTGTCCGGGAATTTCGTATGCAACCTGTCATCCCTTTTTTTTTTGCTTGCACGATTCATATTCGTACACGTCTCCAATATCCAACTGATAGAGCTAGATTATCTGTAGTTGTTTTTCTTAATTTAGTTACTTACATTACTCCTACTCAAGTCTCCCTAGTCTGTAACTGTAACTGATTTAGAACCGCCATGCACTGCATGTTATTCTTCGCATTGCAAAATGACATTGCGCATGTGTCAGGAACTTCTGTTCGAACAAACCTCACTTGCCATCCGGGTCAGCAATTTTGAAAAGGTGGCAACACTACCTGGCTGTTTCATGTACATATTTGTCAATTTCTTCCAAAGACAGATTCTAACACAAACATCTTCTAACTGTAACACTATATTGAGTAATAACTGTCCACAAAAAAAGGTTTTTCGTGGACAGTTAAAGACAGATTCTCAGCCTGAAAGCAGTAGTTGTCAGTCTGTCAGCATGAGCTAGAAAATTTCCACCTTTTTCGAAATAACATAACACTTTTCTAAGCACTTTTCACAAACATGGATTTATGAACAATACTAAGTATTCCCAGCTTGTATGGTAATTGTTTGCTGAAAACTATGATATGACTGCTAATATATTAATTCAAATCAAACATTTTTAAAGCTGAAGATGGTGAAATACAAACTAAAAACATTTCCTTTTCAATAAATCTTTTCATTTGGTTTTTTAATTAGCAATCTCCCTGCTTGAATTAACATAATTGTGCTGAGATTTGTTTATTTTAAAAAAATAATAGTTTTGATCTAAAAAATTAATACATCGAGAGAATTTTCAGTGTTCTGAGTATTGTTTTAGCCACATTCTTGAGTATTAGTTTTAGTACTAAACTACATTTGAATAACTAAACTCAGTGGCGTACCGTAGTGGGGGCTGCAGAGGCGGCCCGCCCCCTAAAAGTGCCGCCCCCTAAAAGTGCCGGGCGGCACTTTTTAGGGGGCGGCAAAATTTCACAATA